AAAGGGCTGAAAAGTTCAGTAATGGCGCTGCCGCCATAATGGCTATCTTTGTAGTTATTCGGCTGTCAGGGACAATCTTGCCGCTATTTATGTGTCTGGTTGTAACTATGTGTCTTCAAAAAGACTACTAAGCACTACTGTTGAGAAAATATAAAGGAACAGAAGCATTATGAACCGCAAGGTACGAAAATATTTGGACTTATGCACCTATCAATGTTTTCCCCCTGAGGGGGGGGTGCGGGCAACCCACGGGAATTTTGACATTTTTAAAATTTTGTTGTCAAAATCCCCACTGTTGGGCAAGGAATGGCTGTCAAAATTCCCCACTATATTCCTAAGATAACAAGGCACACACACGTTTTCCAATGCGAACATACAGTCTATACTGGTTTAAACTTGGTAAAAATTGAGACACTGTGTATAAAAGGCTATAAAATACCTTTTTCGATGAAACTTGATCGTGCTTCTCCGCCATACTTGTTACCAGGCCTTTCAATGTCAAAACCGCGCAAACTTTCAAGATGGCGGATGTCAAAATTTCCCGACTCTGGGAGTTGATGCGTAGGTCAAATTCCCCTCACTGGGGCTTCATAGTGTGGTCAAAGTCCCCTGGGTCGCCCGCACCCCCCCCCTCAGGGGGAAAACAATGATAGGTGCATTATGCAGCGTCAGAAGTTGATCCTGAAATTGCAACATGATTCAAGTTGCTGGATGATGTCCTATATTTTAGCAAATGTTTATTAAATAGCAGCTAAATACAGTTTTTGGTGTCAAACAAATCAGTTATTTTAACCACATAGAAAGAAAATGTCTAAATTACTCTGCTTTATAATACTAATTCCCCAAGGACTAATGGTTGGGAACCTGGTTGGCAGCTACCAGTCATGGTGGTAAGCCGGGTTGGTGGGTACCATAATGTGAGTCACAGATGTATGCGTTTATATCCGATTTGGTCATGAAGGATTATTAATGGATTTATAATATATTCCTTATCTAAATGAAAAAGGTCGGTAAAAGCCATGATGATTGGTAGCTCTTGCAAGAAGCTGGTCCGCGGTTGAAGGTTGCTTGGGAAACAAGGGATGCGGCAAGACGACTTTAGGGAAGATGGTTGCTTGCATTACTGTTGCAGTAGCTGGTAGATATATAGCATTATAGCAGCTACTCATCAAGTGTGAGAATGATAAACCTTAAATTATGTACTTAAGTTCAGTTTTTTGTGACAACCCTATAAATAGTGAGCAAGATGCAATAACGTACTTTGATATATACACTCTAGTCGCTATTCATTTTCCCATTTTGTTATAGTTCTATGTTGTTTCAAGTCTAATATAGATCATGATTATTTATTGGAACCCTGTAGGAAAGGGGTGGACTATTTTGGACCATTTTGTGTGCTCTACACACCAGCTTAATACTTCAAAACATTTGTTTATGTTTGACCTTGATTTTCTCAAAACGAACGATATCTGAATAATCGAGTTTGTGGAAAATCTAAAAAATAGAGGATTTAATATTTTCCCTTCATTTTTGGACTATAGGTGTATCTTGTGACCTTTTATGGGTTAAGTAGACAGTTTTTTCAAAATAGGCAGTTTCGCATTAGTTACCATGGAAACAGTGTTTTTTTCAGCTTTCGGACATAACAGTTTGGCCAAAAAAAATTCTGTCTACTTAACCTGTACATTTGGATATAAGAAGCAGCCATACAAAATTTGGAGTTAGTATCTTTTTCCCTTCAGGAGTTATTGTTTCCACAAGTATTTGTTTATATCGTAGTTTTTTGTCGTTGTCATGGAAACCATGAAGCACGGTCAATCGACAATAGTCTGAAAATTTGTATATTTATAAGATCTAGCTTTGTGCCAAATTTTATGATAATTAATTAAAATGTTATGAAACTAGAGCAAAAATTCTGTTTTGGGCAATTTAGGATAGACTACCACCTTAAGAAACCACGCAATATATCAATATATTATATTCCCTTGCGGTCACCTCATTACTTATCGAGTTGATTTAAGGCTACTTTCCACTCCGGAAAATTATCCATGGATTGGAACGGGCAAGAAAATTTCTCTTTGTGTTGAAGTCATTAGACATGAGTTCCAACCCAGAGCTCACAACACAAAGAAAAATTTTCTTGTGCGTTCCAATCCACGGATAATTTTCCTGAGTTGAAAGTAGCCTTTACCTATAATTGGTGATTGGTGATTACTGATCGAGTCTACCTGCAAAACATCAACTAATACTGTGTACTGAAGTCATTCAGTCACACTACAGTTGTAATTAAGAGAACGTCGGTATCTTTTCGAATCTTGCCACGAGAAATATTTGCGAAAATAAGTATAACTATTCACTACGGTCGATCGAGCTATAAGTTTGAAATACCGGCCGCTTTAACACGATGCACAAAAGACATGCATGTATCGACATTCAATTTAATCAGGCTTTAGTCCCATTCAGACACAACCGATATTAAACAACCGAGTATTTTGCATAAGCATGCAAATTCAAAAGCGGAAACCCGTAGCCTCGTAGGAATCAGAAATTTTTGCTTATGCTTACGCATCGATAATGATGTTATTTTATAAAATAACATGTGTATAACGCGTGCTCTGATTGGGCGAAACCCGTAGTAACCCGTGTTTGGATCAGGCCATCCAAACACGGAAATTTAAAGTTAAAGTTGTTGCGTAAAGTTGTTATTTTATAAAACAGTTGGCTTATGCTTTCCGTATCCATCCAAACACGGAAACCATAAAGTAATTGTACAATGAGGCCATAATTAAATCCGCTTTCGTCTTTAGACGGGAGGTCAACTATTTGCTTCCTTCTAATAATATATCATATGAAATTTCCATAGCATTCACATATGCCAAATTCTATAGAGTTAAGGGACCGGTCATAAAGTAACTGCTAGGGTGGGCTGAAGCAATTTGGGATGGGCCATGGAAAATCTTTGGGCAGTTTCGGTGGGCCGCCAATTTTTTTTGTATGTCTACGGTGGGTCACCAAACAAAAACCCATATATTTCTACTTCAAAAAATAAAGATATTAATAATAAAAGTAAACAAAACTATCAAAATTATCAAATGCAAATTATGCTATTGAAGCCAGTACTTTGTTTATACAACAACAAGAAGTAGTCGAATCACAGCAAATACAACCAACTGGAGAGCAGCTCAGTCGTATCGTAATTGGAAATGAATGTGTTGGTCAAGCTTGGTGGAATTCAATTATGCAGTCAATACAGTGCCGGTGTATATTTACAATGTTCATATACCTGCAAGTTTTTTTAAGTTATAAATTTAAAGTGTATTTTCCAAATTTAGATTGGGTGGGTTATAAAAATTTTTTTGAAAATGTTTTTATGGTTTTATGAAAATGAAGATTAGATGGGCTTTGAAATTTTTATCTACATCCTAAGATGGGTCACCAAACTTATTGGCAAAATTTGTGATTTGCCTCCAGCCCACCCTAGCAGTTACTTTATGACCAGTCCCTAAAGGCCATGTTACACGGTGCAATTTTTCTTGCAACTTGCAATGCAATTCTACTCTTGAGAGATGTTAATCAGTGAAATCAGTGACGAATTTTCGATATGTTGAGAAAACATCAACGGAGTGTAATGAAGACTCGTATTTGGCAATTTTACATCTCTCAAGAGTAGAATTGCATTGCAAGTTGCAAGAAAAATTGCACCGTGTAACATGGCCTTAAGGGGCTGATTACATGGAGAGATTTAGTCAGCCCGGACTGAGTTTCAGCCCGGTTAAACGAGCTGAAATTGCATCACGATTACATGAGCAGTTTGAGCCCGGGCTGAGTTTAGTCAGAGGTCAGAACTAATCCTATATTTATAGTCAACCCGGGCTAAAATCTCAGCAGGGGCTGAAATAATCTGAGTGTCACGAAATAGAACAATAAGCCTATTACGCTTCTTTGAAGCATTCAGACGCTGATTACTGTCGACTATTTGACTTGTGTGGTGAGACTGTGCTTATATGTAAAGTATTTAAAGATGTAACAAACACGCAAAATAAAGCCATTTCAACGGTTGTTTTTTTAGCCCGGGCTGAAATTATTTGCGAATACATGATGCCTGGCTGAAACTGAGCCCGGGCTGAAATTTCAGCTCAAACCGGGCTGAAATTTCAGCCCGGAACTGGAATTTTGGTCATGTAATCGCTTGCTCTGTTTTAATAGGATTTATCCTTAGGACTTTATCCAAATCCGCTAGCGAATACGGACCGGGGAGTCCATATCCTCTAGCGAATATGAACCTATGGGGCGTCTTTATTCGCTAGCGGATTTGGACTCCCCTCGCGAATTTGGACCCCTCGCGTATTTTGTTATTGCAACGTATTTTGAATATTGTACTGAAAGCGTTTTCTTTTCAAATCTTAGATTTTTAGATTGGAGAATTCCGTCAAAGTTTATGATCTATAATTTTTTGGTACATGCCTGGGTTTATTTCTATGATCTTGGAATGTGCGATGAACTGAGAAGCGCATAAAGCCTTCACAGTTCACTCATTGGAATTGCTATCTGCTCTGACTTTTAAGGATAGTTTCCACTCAGGAAAAGTATCCTTGGATTGGAACGGACAAGATGTTATCTTTCTTTGTGTTAAAGTCATTAGTTCCAACCCACAGCTCACAAGACAAAGAAAAATTTTCTTGTCCGTTCCAACCACGGATAATTTTCCTGAGTGGAAACTAGCCTTTAAATTAACTGCTCTTATATCACATTTGTGTCGGTTTTCTTTGTTCGTCCGAGGTTTATAACTAGCTTATAGACCTTGAATAAATGATTAGATTAAATTTGTAGACAAAACGCGAGAATTTTTCATTAAAAATTTTTGAAAATGACAAAATATGTTAGAAAACCTCCACAAATGTGATATAAGTTAGTTATAAACCTCGAAAGTCGGTTTATAACTGATATATATTGCCCTCGGACGCTACGGCGTCCTCGGGGGCAATATATCAGTTATAAACCTCCTACTCGGTTTATAACTCTAACAAATAAAAACGGAAAATGAAAATATACCTGGGGGTCCCTATCCGCGGGGAGTCCAAATCCGCTGTGACACCGGGAAACCTGGATGAAACACAGCCCGGGCTCAAAACTGTCCACGTAATCAGCCCCTTTCAAAATCACATTGTCCACTCGCTACAGTTTATAGAAAGGTTGAAAATGCGTAAACTAGATCACCTTTTTGAAGAGATGATGCTCTTTACAAATCGAAATTTGTATATTATATATACAGCGATAATCAAACAGTCGAAAATTGGTCAGAAATGTGACGTCACCACTGTTGCTATGGCAACAATGACGATTCAAGATGGCCGATATTTTGGCTTTGAATGCATTTTACTTTAAAAGAGGTCGGTTACCCCCATTTGTTATTTCAGAAAACGTTTTCTTATAGTGCAATGCACTATCTGACCAATTTTTAAAAAATTCTGTAATGCAAAAAAAAAATTATTTCAAAAAACCATGTTTATAAATTTTTAAAAAATTTGCCATTACAGAATTTTTTTAAGTTGGTCAGATAGTGTATTGTACTATAAGAAAATGTTTTCTGAAATAAAAAATGGGTGTAACCGACCTTTTTTTAAAGTAAAAAGTTCAAAGCCAAAATATCGGCCATCTTGAATCGTCATTGTTGCCATAGCAACAGTGGTGACGTCACTTTTCGACTGTTTGATTGTCGCTGTATATGTAACTATGCAAATTTCGTTTTGTAAACAGCATCATCTCTTCAAAAAGGTGATCTAGTTTACGCATTTTCAACATTTCTATAAACTGTAGCGAGCCACCTTAAAACTTTAAAACTTATGGAAATTAAGCGTTACACATTTACGCTTATGTCATATTTGTTTCTTTCTACATTTCGTGCAAAAAAAGATCAATCGTATTCGCTTCTTTCTGCATGCATAAAGTCGATTTTCCACTTCGCGTTTGCGGCGTAAAAATGTTCTTTACATAATTTTTTTCCTATTCAGGAGTTAACGTGCCCCAACAGTCACTGAAAATCATTAACTTATGCTAGAAATTTCATCGACGTACTGTAACTAAACAAGAACCAAACACACTCACGAAAGACAAAATCGTTCGCCAAATTTTCGTCGACGGCGGGCGGAAACGTTAACACTGTAAGTGGAAACTCGGCTTTACTATATAGGCACACACTTTAAGCATCACGGTAACAACACGTTTTAACTATGTTCACGATCTTCAGTAGTACTCACATACATTTTATCTCATAAGAAAAAATATATACACGCACATGAGAGAAAAATGAAGGTCCGCCCGCGTATTCTAAAAGCTCACACTCAATGAGTGGAGGTTCAATCTCAGCTTCTTTTGAGTGTCAATGCTGTTTTTCAATAGCTATAGAGGACTGGTGTCGTACATTACTATGTAACTACTCACTCTCAAGCTATTCAAAAACAGCATTGACACTCAAAAGATGCTCAGATTGAATCTTCATGACTCAATTAATGTGAGTGACCTTTTAGAATACAGGCGTAAGGATTAACTTTGTTAGCTGGTTGTCATTCAACACGTAACTCACTATATGGTACCGCTATAATAATCGCAGGAAGCCGATTGCCGATTCAGCAGCCTTATAACATTGTCCAAATTTGAAAAAGTTTGTGCATGTAAAAACAAAATAACACGCCGCATCTTCTCCGAATATATAACTCATAACAAATATATATATACACACATGCACAATCAACCACACTACAATCATGGAAATTAATTCGTAGATTTTTCAAAAATTTCCCCCCCCCCCCTCCCCGTTTACAATGTTGGTTTGTAGTCCAATAACCATGGTTTGAACCAACATTGTGGTAGGGCGAGGGGGGGGAGTTACTATTTCTAGCGATCATGGGCGTTTGTATTAACTAAGAATAAAATGGCTTTACAAAATAGTAAGACAGATGCGTTTTAAAAAAGTCTACGGATATTATTTCCATGACTGTACGTACGGCTGTAAAAGAAATACCTAGAACATTTGTTACCCTCAATATTCGCGAGAAATACGTTGTATTTTCAAAAGATTCTGCCTCAGCAAGACTGGCCATCTATGACTATAAATATAATATCACAGAGATCTCCGAGACCATTACCAGTGTTTCCACTCTCCAAAAGGTAAGGGCCTACCAGAGGGGGGGGGGGGGCACTGGAGGCAATTTGCGCCGGCCCCCCAGTTTAAGGGGACCCCAAAATTTTCAAAATTAAAAAATAATTTCGAACTTTTTTGCTATAAATAATGGTATAACACATGTATTGATCGAAAAAAAGGGTCTACCCATGTTGTAATAGGAATTTGTGGGGAAAAAGTTTTTTGAACCTTAGTTCAAACTCGTGTTCGACTCCAGAAAATTTTCTGACCCTTTTTTAATGTCCGGAAAAAGTTTTCACCTCCTCCCCCGCTCGCCAACCTTTTGGGGAAAGATAGGGCTCCCGAAACAAAAATTTGCCCCAGGCCTCCGAATTTCTCTGATAGGCCCTGATTATCGTAATCGCCATTTTATATGAAAATAATTATAAGTCGATGGCATTACGATGTCATGTTAGCAATGTTAGTATGGCCACGGTTGTCAGTGCACGAAGTAATTGTTGAAGACAATAAATTTTTTTCATAAAACCCCTGTCGCGAATATTGATTTTTAAGCTTCGGCCTTCGCATAGCCTGCTCGCCTTCCGAGGGGCCCGCCGTGGCGTTCAAAAGCGTACGAGATTTTGAAATTAGGTGGTCTCACAAACTATTAATCAAATATGATCTTTTGAAGCTCAAGGTTGTGACTATTTCCACAAAAGTGGCTTTATCGGCCTTTACGCGTCACCAAAACAAACACATCCGCTTGCGGAACAGAAGGTGACAATGGATGTGGTAAATCCCATATCAAATGACATGCATGCTTTGAAACAACCGGATGGCAATCGCAATGCGGCCAATGCCAATAAATGGCAATTTTAATTCAGCTATAATTTGTAATTATGAAACATAATGATCTATAGTTAAATTAATTAAACAGTAAGCATACAAATAAATGTGAAACAAAGTTTCATATCTTATAAGTTACAAAATTAATTCACCTACTGTATAATAATTTTAACATTCAGCACTGAAATGAACTCTGAACAGCATGCGTCTTAATTATGCGGTTTAATTAGTTACACTCGTTACACACTTATACATTCAACGCACAATTCAAATGTCCATTGGACATATGTGTATCCCATTGGATCCAATGGACAACTCTAATGTCCACTGGACATATCTATGTCCATTGGATCCAATGGACAACTGAAATGTCCATTGGACATACGCCTGTCCAATGGATCCATTGGATCCAATGGACCATTGCACATACTCCGTTTGCCATCTCACAGGCCTGCTTCCTGCATGGGGTCGATGTCAACCTATGACGTCATTCCTGTTAACTTATTTACCGCACTACCAAATGTCCACTGGACATATGCCTGTCCATTGGATCCAATGGACAAAATCAAATGTCCACTGGACATATCTATGTCCATTGGATCCAATGGACAAGTGAAATGTCCATTGGACATATGCATGTCCAATGGATCGATTGGATCCAATGGACCATTGGACATACTCCCTTTGTCATCTGACAGGCCTGCTTACCTGCATGGGGTCGATGCCCACATATTACATCATTCGAAATAACTTATTTACTGCACAACCAAATGTCCAGTGGACATATTCCAGTACATTGGATCCAATGGACAAATCAAATGTCCACTGGACATATCTATGTCCATTGGATCCAATGGACAAGTGAAATGTCCATTGGACATATGCCTGTCCAATGGATCCATTGGATCCAATGGACCATTGGACATACTCCCTTTGCCATCTCATTGGCCTGCTACCTGCATGTGACGTTATTCTAACTCTATTTATTATAACTTACTTAATGCACAACCAAATGTCCAGTGGACTTATGCCTGTCCATTGGATCCAATGGACAAATCAAATATCCACTGGACATTTCAATATGTCCATTGGACATCTTGCAGAGGTATTGGACATTAATCAGTATCGCAGCCTGACACTCTTGTCGTTCGAAAGCTTCCATATTGGTTTTATAGTCAAAGAGATGTTCACTCCTCGACAGTCAACAGTCAATGAAAGCCACGCGTGGAATTAGGCGCTCAAAACCCATGACGCTTTGAGGCCTGCTGTCCAACCTCCTCTGCTACTTACGACCTTAGTTCTTCAAAGAACACTTGCCATGGTTTTGAATTGTTGTAAGATACTGGTAGTGATTTATTTTAACTTGTTTAATTACGGCAAATCATGGATTGTTGTGTTATTTTAAATATTATAGGCAACGGCTTATCATGACCTTATATGGTAATGCTGCACTGTTATTCTACATTTTGTTATTGGCATATCCATATTTGAATAGTCTATCTATTGATTTCATATGAGAAGCTAAGGAAGATTAATAAGTTTATTAAAATTATGCTGTGTGTTTCATTGATATGTTTAAACATAATACACAAAGAGAAATAAACTTTATATTAATTTTAAACAATGTTTGAAATCCGAATAACTAAATACGGCTCAAAGTTTGAATAATAATTAGCACTTGAAAAACTTTGAGGGCCGCTTGGGCCTGGGGACGAGGATGTGGAAAAACAACCAATCAGAGCCCGACTTTCGCCGGTGTTTCCCAGAGCCTCAGCAAGCCTCCACAGAGGATTGCGGGCTCTGGTTTCAAGATTGACAGACAGACCAGTGAGACAGACACAAAACATTCTTGTACCCAGAGCCCTTCTTACGCGCGTGCGACCGAGCACGACGAGGGGCTCTGGCCAAATCCATAACCGGATACCATAAAAACATAGTATCCGGTTAAACACTGCGCATGCTCAACGTCAAACGCGGATAAACACTTCGGTTTCTTGTTTGTTTCGTTTTGAAAGTTTTTCTCCAGGAAAACCCCACAAAAGCGGTAGATTTCGCTAATTTTATTTATTTAAATCAATTAGTAGGTAAGACGTGATGTTCTCAATGCATGGTGATAAAAGTTTAGTATATATTTCCCTCTTAAACGTTGCCAAAGCAGTAATGGCTACGGATACGAAGACGAGAGATTGTCTCACTATTTTACATTCGATTTTAAGTCGCTGTTGTACAGATTTTTAGACTTTTTTGTGTTTTATTAAAAGTTAACAGTCATACATAAGACATACTATACTGCAAATCATTTGAAAATTGTAAAAAATCGGTTTCTAGGAAGAAAATAATCATCACAATTAACTTCATATTCTGGCTGGCTATAATATTTTCTCTTCAAATGGCACTTCAGCTTTGAACATGTAACAGATTTGTTTGATTAACATCACTGATTTGGATATACGACGAGCATCTGCCATACATATGCTGACTTTTTGCTATGAGAACATCACTTCTCAACCTATTAATTTCAATCAACTAATTGATTTAAATAAATAAAATTAGCGACCTCTACCGCTTTTGTGGGCGATTATCAACCACAATCTTCCTAACTGCTTCGTAGTGCTGTTCTTTCAACTTTAATAATGTCTTTTCTCCCAATTTTCTCCAAAACGAAACCAACGCTTCATGAAGCGCTTGATTTTTATTCATATTTTATACAATAAACCATATATTTAGTTGTGGCCAATCAGAAGCCAGTTTGATATGGATTTGGCCAGAGCCCCTCGTCGTGCTCGGTCGAACGCATTCTCGTACCCAGAGCCCTTCTTACGCGCGTTCGACCGAGCCCGACGAGGGGCTCTGGCCAAATCCATATCAAACTGGCTTCTGATTGGCCACAACGAAATATATGGTTTATTATAGTAAATATGAATAAAAATACACAAGCGCTCCACGAAGCGTTGGTTTCCCTTTGAAAATTGGGAGAAAAGACATTATTAAAGTTGAAAGAACATTAGTACGAAGCAGTTAGGAAGATTGTTGTTGATAATCGCCCACAAAAGCGGTAGATGTCGCTAATTTTATTTATTTAAATCAATTAGTTGATTGAAATTAATAGGTTGAGACGTGATGTTCTCATAGCAAAAAGTCAGCATATTTTATGGCAGATGGTCGTCGTATTTCCAAATCAGTGATGTTAATCAAACAAATCTGTGTTACATGTTCAAAGCTGACGTGCCATCTGAAGAGAAAATTTCGAAATATTAAAGCCAGCCAGAATATGAAGTTAATTGTGATGACTATTTTCTTCCTAGAAACCGATTTTTTACAATTTTCAAATAATTTGCAGTATAGTATGTCTTATGTATGACTGTTGACTTTTAATAAAACACAAAAAAAGTCTAAAAATCTGTACAACAGCGACTTAAAATCGAATATAAAATAGTGAGACAATCTCTCGTCTTCGTATCCGTAGCCATTACTGCTTTGGGAACGTTTAAGAGGGAAATATATACTAAATTTTTATCAACATGCACTGGGAACATCACGTCTTACCTACGAATTGATTTAAATAAATAAAATTAGCGAAACCTACCGCTTTTGTGGGGTTTTCCTGGAGAAAAACTTCAAAATGAAACAAACAAGAAAGCCGAAGTGTTTATCCGCGTTTGACGTTGAGCATGCGCAGTGTTTAACCGGATACCATGTTTTTATGGTATCCAGTTATGGATTTGGCCAGAGCCCCTCGTCGGGCTCGGTCGAACGCGCGTAAGAAGGGCTCTGGGTACGAGAATGGGTCGAACGCGCGTAAGAAGGGCTCTGGGTACGAAAATGGATCTCGACAATACACATTCTCGTACCCAGAGCCCTTCTTACGCGCGTTCGACCGAGCCCGACGAGGGGCTCTGGAACAGGTGGGCAATTTGTCGACGCTGACCAAAAATAGCGGCTCATTTCTTCTTGAGTTGCCATTTTCGCGTCGAAGAGCAAAAATATAGACTTTCGGAGAATAATTTAGCTGTTTACTATCAAATATGTTTGTGAAACAGTTGTTAATCTCACTGAGGAAGGCCAACGGTTTCTGAAAAGCTAAAGTACGTTGAAATCAGCGTTGGAATAGACTATATTTTCACCAGGGAAACATGAGCTAAATGGATATTTACATCAACACTAAGTTTCGCTCGTGCCTACAGAGGTAGTTGGATTAAAACAGATGTTAAGAAGTAAGTGAAAATGTGAATTTTGTGAATTATACTTTCATTAAAATGTTTCAGAAGGGCTGCTAATGTCAAACTACACGTGTGACAGAGCTGTCAGTATACCCATATTTCAATGTTTATGTTGAAATGACCCATCTTCTTTGAGGTTATGAGGTATGGTGAGGACAGGAATAGGCATCAAAAAAAAAAAAAAAGTCTTTTTAATAGATCAAAAGATAAAAATACATATCTTATGTTACAAGTACATATTAAGAATACATTAGTAAAGTTTACATCATATGAATAGGTTATAGTTAAAAATTAATCTATTTGCAAACGACAATTTAAAACGTTCCGTGTTCACTCTTGGATACTGACTAAACTCTGTCCTCAAAGAGTAGCTTGTGGATTTTTTTCTTGGTATCAAGTCGACTATGGCACTCTTCTGATTTACAGAAGCCTTAAAAATATTTCTGTCTTGTATTTCTAAAAGATATCTAATATTTACAGGTTCTGATATATACTTTCGCTTAAAACATCTGTCAAAAAACCGTTGTAGAGTATTGAGTTCGGCTGGAGAAGAACCGTAGACGGACAGGCCAAACGTTATAGTAGATATTACTAGGGTCTTAAATAGATAATCTATCTCACATTGGCTATAGCCTTCTGCCCTGAGTGTTCGTATAACGTACAAGCATTTGTTTGCTTTGACCAATTTACCTCGCACATGACTGGTGAACTTGAGATTGTCTTGAAAAGTAGTACCTAAAATGGGAAGTTCTTTGCATTGGGGTATATTATAAACATTGTCAAGTTGATCATTATATCCCTTCTTCCGGATGATAAGCTCTTTACATTTACCAGGGTTACAAGTCATAAAATTATCATCAGACCAGCTCAGGAATTGTCCAACTGTATCTGTTGATGTATCAGGACCCTCACTCCAAACTGGCACTATTATATTTGAATCGTCCGCATATTTAAAAAGAGCGTTCTCGCCGTCTATGTCCACCTCTAGATCATTTAGGAAAATATTAAAAAGGTAGGGGCCACTTACGCTCCCCTGTGTTGTACCCTTATTAACATCCATCCATTCTCCACAAAAATCGTTACAAACGACTCTTTGCTTTCTATTCTTTAGAAAATTTAAATACCAATTTATGATATAAGGGTTGAGTGGCACAGTTTTTAACTTTTCCGAGAGGAGTGAATGTTTCACTGAGTCGAAAGCCTTGCTAAAATCCATAGAAAACAGTCTAACTGCTTTGCAGTTCGCTCTATCTAAGAAGCTGAGTACTTTGTTCTGAATAGTTAACAGAGCGTTTGTACAACTCCCCCCTGCCTGTACGCAAATTGCGTTGGGGATAAAATTTCCTCAACTGTCGACTTGACCTGACTATTATAAACGAGCTTTTCGAAGGTCCTCGCAATTACAGGTGTAATATTTATTCCACGAAAGTCACCATCTTCCTTTGGTAAATCAACCTTTGCAAGAGGGTTAATATTCGCTCTTTTCCATGAATCTGGCCAAGTACAGTATGTGATGAAAGGGACAAATTCCAGACGTTAGTTATAACTTCGGTTAGAATTTCCGCATGATCATTCCAAACCCAATAGGGAATATAATCGGGACCTGTTGCTGTCCTCTTTATTCTTTTCAAGGCATTCCATACCTGCTGTTCCGTAAAGCTAGGAATATCTACTTCATCACCAATAATTAAGAGCGTCGGTTCGACATAACTATCATCGTGGCAGAGTTCGCCAAAGTAGCGATTTAATCTTGTAAGTGATGCATTATCTAAAGTAACTCTTGATGACGATGCATTTCGCTGAGAAATATCATTCGTCTTTCTCCACCAAGTTCTACTTCCCACCAAGGCCCTAAAATTTCTTCTGTTTTGACAAATGACATCAGAAATCCTTTTGTTAATTAAACTGAGTCTATCCTTTTGCGACCGAGCAATTCTGGATTTAGATTTTAGCAAAGATTTAATTAAAGGACTCATCCAGTAAGGGTCACGTGACGAAATTGAGACTGTTTTTGTGGGCATACATTTATTCATATGATCCTTGATCTTACGTTCAAGACAATTCACAGAGTCATTTACATTCGTGGACTGCGATACATCCTCCCAATCTTCTTCTGCTAAAGCTTTGTGGAAATCTTCCTTTCGATGCTTTCTACAATCCCGAAATTCAACCTTTCGGCGCATAGGTTTTAGTTTTGTCCCTGCTGGTAAAATAACCCCCATGTGGTCTGTTTTAGTTAACATGTGGAAAGGATAACATTTTGAGAACAAATCTATTCTATTTGTAAGGCAGTTATCCAAACATGCGTTACCCCTTGTTGAAAAGTCGACCATTGCATCCCATCCTGATAGTTCCTCAAGGTGTTTTATGTCCAAACTGTTCAAATCCCCTCCACAAACAATTACAGTGTCTGGATATTTGTCCAGAACGTCGTCAGAAATATTTATCAAATAATCCAATAAGTCGCTCTCCAGATAATTGTGCCTAGGTGGGTGATAAAGGCCATATATCGACATGCGGTTTCCTGTAGGTAACAGAAGTGTGATACCAATAAGTTCGTACAAACTGGATCGATAAATATCAATAACTTTTAAGTTGTTCCGAACATATATTGCTACCCCTCCTTTTGCTCTCATATCGCGTCCTTCCCAACTTCTATCTCTTCTAAATATTGAATAATTGTGAATGGTCACCACAGCATCTGGCATTTCAGGTTTCAGGTGACTCTCGCTCACCACACATACATCTATATCGTTATTGACCAAGTCTGCCTCCAGTGCAACTACAGCTCGTACTCGATTTTTTGTTTTTGCCAGACTACATATGTTGATAAACATAAACTTAGGAGACTCCACCACCAGGCATGGTGGTGGAGTCTCAATATACATAAGAACCTCAATAAACTTCACAATAAGAGACGATTTAACTGACGATAATCTCGAAACAATTACACTTGAAATTTCAAAACCAAAATCCAAACCATTCTTAATTAATAGCTGGTATAAACCACCCAATACAACACTTGAAATATTCAATGCATTCGAGGATTTAATTACTCGAATGGACTCTGAAAACAAGGAAATAATTTTACTTGGAG